TGTTATCTTTGAAAAATTTACTAGGTTTCACCTGACAGTTAATAGCTTTTCCTCTGCCAACACAAGAGAGGAATAATAAACTAATATATGGGATGAACTGAAATTCATCAAAAGAAGTGTTACTTTTGAGAGAGAAACAGCTTTTGCTTTTTGTAGCGTTTTGGGGGAATTTTAGCGTTTTCATTCCAACTTTGTGATTTGAAGTCATACACACAGTGATGCTGCTGCTGCAGAGCAGGGGTGTGTGGCTGCAGGGTCTGTGGACAAGCTGCAGAGCGGTGCCTGGATGCTTCTTCACTGAGCATCGGCCGGAGTAATGGGGTTGGTTATAAAATGTAATAGATTGCTTCCTGCTTCTGCCCGATGGTGTGATCTCTGGAGCTCCTTGTGGACTCCGAGTTGTGTAACCAGTGCAGAATCTCACTCTTATGTTCTCTTTGTTGGTGGTTATTGTATTAACCATTTCTACCCTCTGGTGATTAAGAACAGGTCATGCAGCAGGAGGGAATACTTCCCCAACCTTCCCCCTCAAAAGTCGATGTGAGCCTCTAGCAACCACTGCTTCTACCATTAAAGCAGAGTGAGCTAGTGGGTTATGTCTGAGGAAGTTTCACTTTCAGATGGTGGAGGAGGGATATTTTCTTCAGTGAGTCAGAGTCTTGTTGGTTTACAATTTTGGTAGAGATCTGACCGTGCCTGTGAGGTGTCACGGACAGGGATGGTCTGTCCCTTGAGAGACAAGGTACAGGACTGACAAAGCCTGGCTGCAATTCATGAATCCACCCTGGAGGTCTCTTCTAAAACAAATCCTCAAAATGGCTCCTACTCCTTTCTGTCAGGCAGTGCCTGCCTTTTCACATCCTGCCTGATTTTCTCTCTTGTCTTGTTTCTCTGAGCAAAATGTCACTTGATATTAAGAGCAAGCAGCGTGCTGTGACAGCTCTCTCCGGGCTCTCAGCTGAGGTGTCTGTGTGGTCTCAGGAAGATGTGCCTGAGATGCCTGAATCTGTAACCAGCATTTCTTGTGCCTGATTTCAGTAGTGTTGAGCTCTTCTTTTTGGCATCACAGGAGTTAACAGCTCTGAAAATCATGTCACTTTCTTGAATACTGGTTGAAAGTGGCATCCAGTTTTTAAGCATGGTGTTATATTCTCAGCACTGTCTTTTACCAGTCCCTGTAACAAGTAGTATAACCCACTCAGACTTCAGATCATAGCTGACAGTTGTCTTTCAACTCTTTCAGTGTAAGGCATTAATGAAAAACATTACTGGGGTTGGATTTTTTTTTTCTTGATCAGATTTGCATACTTTTAGTGTTTTTATAAAGAAACTATTTAAACATTTTACAAAAATCCTTTTGCTGGTGTGGGTGAGACTATTAAATTGTGCAATGATAAACAACATTTTGTTATAAATTTAATTATTTGGCTTTTTTTTCTCTTTTCTCATTTTAATCAAAACAAATAAAATTTCCAACTGTTTCTGCATACCCAGAAACGCATTGATGTAACCATTATCCAATGAAGACTTGAAGGTACTCAGTTGTCACCTTGTCATCTTGTTTTAGATAGATTAAAATCAAAATCCCAGATGTACAGGAACATATGTGTTCTTTATGTGGGTCGTTTGGAGGAAGCTTTTGTTTATTTTTAACATTTATATGAAGCAGTGATCACATGAAGTGAATCATACTCATTTCGGGATCCTGCCTAAACAAAGCTCCTTGGTCCATGTTGTGCTTTCAGAGAATGGACATTTAATATTCTTTGCCTTGAAGGCTCACTTCTCCTGTGAAATAAGTAGTTTCTCTTCCCTCTGAGTTGTAAAATTTACCGTGTAAGTTACACATACCTGAAGTTGATGGACTGATAGCTCTAGACACCAAAGTATATAAGCAATGGCAAAAGTGAAACACCAAAAGTCCCTGAACCTTTCTACTGTGGTGTGTGTTGAAGGAGTAAGCACAGAACATATGGGGGTTTTAGGGCAGTTTGTTCTCTGGACACATGCCCAGGCCATGCCCTGTTCATTTTTTCATATCTACCACTTGACTAGGGACTAGGAGCTGCCCTGAGAGCTTGCTTGTTAGCTTTTTGTTGATAACAAGATCTAAAACTTCTGAGACGCTGCATCATATTTTAGTCCTTTGGACCATTCAGGTCTTGAGCCCTGTGTACTTTAAAGAATTTAAAAATTAATGGTGAAAGTAGAAGCAGCTGCCTGGTGACTAAGCCAAAGAGCATCTATGCCTTACACATTGAACTTCAATATATGCGTCATCCTGAGTGTTGAAATCTTGCAATGTAATAGCATGTTAAATAAATAACTGTTAAATAAGTTGCATGACAGTTTTACAAATTCTGTTTATTGTCACAGTAATCAACAGTGACAATTCCAGTGTAATGTAAGAATACATGTACTAGTTTTATTGGCTTGACCACAGCACAGCAAGGGTAGGTGATGTGACCCACAGCTGTCAGCGACTTGTGGGCATGGGACGTGTTGCCTTCAGTAGATTCACTGGCCAGCTTTCAGTTGTCCCCTGATCCACTTGAGTCTCCATGACTAATGTCTCTAGTTGCCCAGCTCTCTGCCTTTCCATGTGCTTAACTGATAAAAATCACTGGACTTTGGATTGGGACTAATTTGAAAAAGGTGAATCTGGATTTTTCTATCTAGTTATGTGTGATGTTTTTTGTATTTTGAATGATTGTTATCACAATAAATGTCTATCCTTAAGGATAAGAAGGGTTTCCATAAATAAAGGGGTCATTAACCTTTAGCCTTTATGTAGTGGTATGTACCGTGGCATTCATAGGAATGACAGTAACTGGTGCTTATGAGAGGCAAAGTCCTCCACCTTCACAATGTCTGGTCTTATAATAATTCTGAAAGTTGTAACTGGAATATAAATTCTGTGCCATGCACTGGCTTTTAGCTAGTGTAAGTTGCATTTGGATAGGTTCCTGGCTTTTGAAAAGTAAAAAAATGACTAACTGATGTTGAATATTTGAATCTCATTAATTTCCTTCATTTTATGTGTGTGTTTCTACTTCACTTATTTCAAGACACAAATATGACATACTTTTTTATGAAAATGTGTGTCATTATTATAAAATACGTTAAATCTGTTGTATCTGCAGTTGTGTTGCAAAGAAGTTGAACTACATCTTTAAGCAGTTCTGCAGTCAAACACACATTTCAAAGTCCTGGCTCAGGAAACCAGCAGTAAACTAAGAAATAGTTGATAAATGTTTTAAAAATATGGATTTTACATTTCTCTATTATTGTCTGCAAAAGATTAAAAAAAAAGAAATAAATTAAATAAAATTATCCTTCATCTTATCCACCATCTTTTAAATTTGTGTGCCATTAAAAAATGGAGGAATGCACAGGACATTGTAACAGCTTTCTTGGTTTGTCCTTTTTCCTCTGAGATTTAGCAACTTCCCTCAGTGGTTAGTACAGCACTCCAAGCAACTAATCCTGTATCTATAAACTGTAATGTCAAAGGATTAATGTGTGCCTGGGAACACAGGTCAAATCTGCTTTAGATCACAACAGTTTGAGTTCAGCTCCTAGCTGAAATATCACAAAACTACCATATAATTTAGTTCAAGTCCTGCATTCCTATACTTCAGCTGCTGATTGCCTTTAATAAAGAGAGGCCCAGGATTGATTTCCCTGAGAATGTCTTTGTCTAAAACCAAAGTAGTATCAGCTGGAAAGTAGAAGATTTTCTTAAAATAGTTCTGTATTCGATATAAATAACACTTTCAAAGTCTACTTTTAAAATACCATCAAAAGTACAGTATGGCAAGTTACTGACAGTTCCTGAATTCCTTCTGTTTGCTGTGTTATAGTGCCCAGATCTTGTCAGCATCTCTTGGTGGCATGTCCTGCCTTCCACTGGGTAGCTGCACACAGATGCAGTGGCATACATCAGCTGAGTCTCATTTGCTGCTAGAGACAATTGTTTTTAAATATTTTTTATAAAAATATTAATCTGATTTGTGCAATATGTAGAATTATATGTGCAGTAAGCAGACACATGTATAACTACATCTGTTTTATTTACTTTGAGTCACCAACAAAGCACAGCATTTTATACCTAATTATCTGCAAATGTAACATCCAGAATCTCTCTTATTTTGTCTTCTTGATTTTCCTGTTAGGTACTGTAATTGTGTGTCTTTGAGGATTTTTCATATGTGAATTCTTGTAATATGTTTTTACTTCCAGAAGAGTGGCAAGTATCCTGTTAGAATATTTGTTTGATCTTAACACTGAAATATAATTGAGAGTAGGTGTGTTAATTCACTTTTAGTTAGTGTGGGTGGATTTTTAATTAGTTTCATTCTATTTTAAGGCTACAGTGTATTCTGTTATCATAACATAAAACAATTCCAGCCTTAGAATATGTCTAGTTTATTGTAACATACAAAAAGCAGTGTCGTGCACCACTGCACACGCCTTAGTGAAAGGACTCTGTGCTTAGACTCTTGTTCAGACCAAGTTTACCTGCATTGAACTGCGAACTGAAAACCCTGTTTGTTGTCAGACTGTAAAAGTTACTGTCACATTTTTTAATTCGGTTGGTTGATATGCTTAGAGAAAACAGTTTACGAGATGAAACAAGAAGCAGTGTGCTTTTCCTGACGTAAAAAACCCTCCTGGACTGAAACAGCGGTTCCTGCCTACTGCTCTCTGGTGGGGCCACCTGTGTCCCGGAGCACGTGGCTGTGGCTGTCCTCCCAGGCCCCTGTTTCAAAACCGATAGATCTGAGCATTTTCATAACCACGTTCTTGTTTGCTTCATCTTTTAAAAAATTTAACCTGGGCACACCGCAAAGCCTGCCACTGTGTCTGAGGTGCAACGCGCCTGGAAACCCAGCTTTATTTCAGCTGGGTTTCAGAGACTCATTTGAAAATTTGTTCTTCTAGGCTGGGCTGTGGTGCTGTAGGACTTTGCTGACTGTTGTTTTCTTATGGCCTGACAGGTTCTTCGCTCTGTGCTGCTGTTTCCAACGATAGAGCGTATGGCTCAGTCCCCTCAAGGAAAGCTCATGACCCCTTTGCTGTGCAAACTCCGTTATGTTCTGTACATGCCCGTCTACCTGCTGTCCTTCCTACCCGAGGGAGTCAAAGCCTCCCTGGTGCGGTTTGCTCTGCGAGGAATGAAGAGCTGTGATGAATCTTCCATAACAACCTCCGTAAATCTCTTCAGTGTGGACTGTATTGGTGAGCGCTTTTTTCTTTAATTTGTTACACCAACTTTTGTATTGTTCTTATTTAGTAAATGTCGATGTAGTTTTGTGGGCAAAAGTTGAATACTAAAGCATGAGTAAGTTTTGAAGAAGAGTAATCTCTTCTCAAATTAAATGGCTACAGGAAAGTCGCAAATTAGTCAATTCTGAAAAAAAGTCTTAAGGGGAAAATAAGAAATAAAATATTTCCCCAAAGAATATATATTTCTGAAGAAAACTCTGACCTCTACTACTAACAGTATCTCAGATGATTAAGAACACTGGTTTACAATCTAGTGTATGTTACTTATGCCTACTTACTTTTTGCATTTCATTCATATTGGATGATGAAAATAAATCAGTAACCAGTTTCACAAACGATTCTTTGCATCTGTTTTTTAAAGCTGTGATTTAACCAGCTCTATAGATTTTGTCATCTGAATTGGAATGTTGGTAAATTCAGAAAAGGGCCTTCAGCCTACAAAGACATGTAAAAGTTATTTTATGCATAGAAGAATTTCAGCACTTTTTGGGGCATATGGAGAAAGACAGAAGATAACCATTCCTCCAGTGCATATTGTACGCATATTTTGCACATTCTAACAAGAGAAACAGCTTTAAGAAAGGGAATAATTTCAGATAAATTATGTTACATATGGAATGAAAACCAGAACATGGATTGTGCTATACTCCAGGTATTTTGGTAAGTTAGCAGTTGAAAACAATTTGGAATAGAATTGACGTGCTAACACAGTAATAACAGCAAGAAGGAAGTTTTGATTGCATTAATAGTAGTAAAAACACATTCCTACATTTCTAGTTGTGCTCTGTCTTCTATCAGTTAAATTTTACCTACTAATCATCCAAACAGATGTGCCAGAGTGACTGTGTGATTGCAGCAAGGTCCTGTCCCTTTCGTGGATAGCTGTGGCTGTGTTGGCCTGTGTTGGAAGCTCATTGTGGGACTGCACAGAGACCGAGAGTGGGATGGGCAGTGAGGGTTCTTCCTGCCAAACCCAGACAGCCCCGTTCATGTTGTACAAACCCGGCCTAATGACAGTCGCTCCGCTGCAGTACGCTGTGCCTGACGAAATCACGCTCCCGGTTGATAATGCAAACTTCTGATGGGAGTCATATGGTCTGTTGCTTCAATTCCTATTAATTTTTGGCAGTTTTATGATGATCAAAGAGAAAGCAAATCTGCAGTCAGTCACACATGCTCTAGGCTTTCAGGCTTCTTCCTCTGATAATTTAGTCTCAGAGAAAGGCATGTGAAGGTCTGTGGGGTCACATCTCCACAAGCCAGGAATCCTTCTCTGGTCCCCACAGATAAACTTTTACCTCTCAAAACAGGTTATCCACATCCAGGATTGTATTGGAAATGGTCCTTGGCCTGCATTAACCTCCAAAAAAGCATGGCCAGCCATTGTCTGTGAGCGCTGCTTGGCCCAAACCACAGCAGTGGCAGGAATAATTTGACAGAACAGATTTTGTGTGCTGCTGTTGGAGCCTGGCTCTCTGAACTCTTTAGTCCCCAGGTGAATGAACCCACTTGATGTGTGTGTGTCAGCCAGTTGTGATTTGCTGTGTGCACCAGTGTCTGATCTATGTCCAAGCTGTAAGGTGAATTGAGGCAAGAAGCCAGGCTGAAGGCGCTTGTACTCGTAGGATGTGATCTCTGCCTATATTTAGTTTTTTGACTGGATTCATCATACCAGAATGAAAACCCCTGTGAGCGAGTGTCTTGTAAAACTTGCATAAATAGGCCTTATTGATGCAAGTAGTTCCTTTGGGCTTGTGATATCATCCCTCTTGAGCAGATTCCCCCTTTGGTTTTGTCTTTGGAAAGTGTTGATGTTTTACAGCCCAGTGACTCGGGACCACATGTGTGGATTAATAATATTAGGGCTTTCCGGATATTGCCTGTTAACCTTCTCTTGTATTGTCTGCGGACAATAGAAAATGTTGCCATTCAGCAAAAATTTTCTGAAACCCAGCACGACAACTGAGTCTGTCTTGTGGGACCACTCATCAGTGAGTTATTGAAGCCTCTGAATTTGTGGTAAATGTTTTTCTGATGGATTCCTTGTCCCTTAATAAACTGCTAGATATGGTTCCGAAATGTTCAGTAAATGAAGTTGTTTCTCCTCTCCAGGAAGGTTGCATGTCAACTCATTAAAAATACACATATTGCCTTTGGCATGTAAATGTATTGCATTACTGTAATTGCAATAAAAACTGTGATTAAGGGCAGAAAAGATGGTAAATGTTTCCTTAAAACTAATACGTCTGTTAAAACAAACCAACCTGCCAGGGATTTGTTACCACATCCAAAGCTTAGTCACAACAATGTTTTCACTCCTCTGAAAGGAAATGAGATTTGAAAACTTATTTATAGCGGAACTCTAAGACTGAGTGCTGCTCCTGTTGACATCAAGAGTGAAAAACTCCATTCAGTGAAGCAGAATCAGGCCCTTGGTTGAAAGAGTCAGTAAAAGAGGAATTATACTACCTATCTGTCCGACTGTTTCAAATTATAGAATCATAGAATGGTTTGGGTTGGAAGGAAACTTAAAGATCATCCAGTTCCAACCCCCCTGCCATCAGCAGGGACACCTTCCACTAGACCAGGTTGCTCAAAGCCTCATCCAGCCTGGCCTGGAACACTTCCAGGGAGGGGGCATCCACAACTTCCCTGGGCAACCTGTTCCAGTGTCTGACCACCCTCACAGTGAAGAGTTTCTTCCTAATATCTTTATTATGTTTGTTCCTGCTTCTTATCTAAACTTATCTTTGCTTTGTCCTAACTCTATAGTTGATGGTACATAGATGCCCCAGTCACCCAGCAGAAGGCATTGTGATAACACTGTGCAGAAAAGTAACATAACACCTTGTCCCAAAGGGGAAATAATGCAGAAAGGAGAGACAGAAGGGACTGTGAAGAAAATGGGTTGTAGGGAAGGTTGGGAAGACATAGTGTGTAAGTGATAAAGAAACTATTAGAAATAAGCAAAGGGATCTGAAGGCAGTTTGCCTACCCTAGATTAAACTTCTAGCAAAGATATCTTAGGGCAGAAGAAGCATTACAAAGACCAAACGAGCATTTAGGTACTTGTATTTCTAAAGCTAGGAGGTGAATAGACAGAAAAATTGGACGTTAGTGACCTTGAGCTATCTGAAACTTTGTCACTCTGTTTATTCAGGCTAGCAAAACAAGGATACCCCTATCTAGCACAGTGGTGGCTGTTCAGCCAGTCATGTACAGTCCTGCAGTGCTGGAATACTTTGGCACTTCAGTGCATTGAAATTTGTAAACATTTCTTTGGTGACAGATGCCAGTAGCAGACTTACAGTGACAGTAAGCCATTCTATCTACACAGGACAGGATTTATTGTCCAGCCGTTTGACTGGCAAACTTCCTCCATTTGTTTCTGTAAAATTTCCACAAAAGCACAGACATGACATAATGGGTAAACACCGCAAGGCTTTTTCGAGAGGCGGGCTCTCAGGTCAGAGGTTAACGTCTGGATGACAGTGAAGATACAGATAAGCACAATAGCAAGAAAAACCTCCAACTGGCCCAAACGAGGTGAGTCCTTTGTGATCTTGAACCTGTGACTTCCCTGGAGGAATCTCCCTGTTTGTTTAACCTGTTCAGGGAGCAGGGGAGCACGGCGATCTGGGGCAGGGGGAGGTCGGCTTTGTGCAGTTCAGGCAGGTTGGGAAGGAGGGGACTCAGGAACCTGAAATGAGGGTTTCAGATGGGTTTAGGCTGTCACACAAATGTAGTCAGGAAATGGTAGATTTCTGGTTCATTTTAAGCGTCCAAGAGATGTTGTAAGAAGACAAGGAACTAAGATTAAACTTAAGAATTTGGATTCAAATTTTATCTTGTTCCAAGTGTGGAGGCATTCAGATTTCATGTGGAGTGTTTAAAATTCTCTCATTTTACAGAGTAAAAAGGGCTAAAGCAGTTTCAGGCACTCCACTCTTACGCCCACAGCACTGCATAGGAAAGCAGAGTCCCAAATGAGGCACTGAGGCTTGTCTCCCAGCAGTAGCTGTTTCTCTCTGTTGGCTGTACAGGATGACAGAATTACACGCCTGACGGGCCATACAGTCAAAAGCTTTCTCGTAGGATAAAATTTGCAGAACTGTCAAATAGGATCTGTGAGATAAATTTTTATCAAAAGCCACTGAAATGTAGATTTTCAGTTGCTGTGAAAATGGAACATAAGCTTTTACATTAACTAAGTAATTTTAAAATTTTATCTCCAAAGAGTCAACTGGAAAATTGCATTCTGGGATTGAATCATTGAGATCTGCTTCTATTCCAATTCTCTTTTCTTAATCAGGGAGATTTTAAATAGGACATTATGGGTGGTCTTCACCTGACCACTGCAGACATTGTGCTGTTCAAATAATTGGCATCTAAACCAGGACAGGTGAATCACACCCTACAGATGACTGCTTCTCTTTACTGACCTCAAAGGGACCCTCTTTCTATTAGATACCTGAAATTAGAGGAGATATAAATCCCGCTCTCTTTACTGGCTACTCAATTTGCTGCAGACATCAGAAAACAATGTGATCTGAATTATCCATGCAGCACGTACTCTCACTGCCAGAAGGACAGTCAGATATCCCATGCTTTGGCTGCATTGGAATTTACAGCTGCTGGTTTCTAGTGAGAGTCCTGTTGTTTGTTTCCTACCTTCTTTGAAAAATAATTTTAAATTTCCACCTCAATATTCTGACAAGTAAGGTGGGAAATTTTTGGAGAATACTTTTTTGGGATTAAAATGCTGTAGAAATACCCATCTAACTGAAGTACTTGAGTAAGGACAGTGCATGGTGGTGTGTTCATGGCACTCAATAGCTCCTCCATCTATTCTGCTCCTATTTTTCAGAGTTAAAAACAGTGTTTAAAGTATTAGATAAGAACTTGATAAACAAATTCACCTGACATGGTGAAATAAGAGGGTTTTGTACCCC